CCCACCCTCAAGAACTATTCAATAACATGTCCCTCCTCTTCTCTCACAAACCAGTTAATTACATGCCCCTCCCCTCACAAACAAGTCAATTACATGCCCCTCTCCATCTCATGGGTCAGTTCATTACACACTCCTCCCTCACGAACTATGCCCCCCCTTCATGAACCACTTTATTTATTACATTTCGCCCCCTCACGAACCAGTCTATATATATACCCCTCCCTCACGAACAATTCCATCACATGCCCCTCCCTCCCCCCACCCCCTCCTCAGAATTAACCAGTTCACAACATGCCCCTCTATGCCTCATGGGCCAGTCCATTAATGCCACCTCCCTCAAAGACCAGTACATGACAAGCCCCTCCCCTCAAAGACCGTTACATGACAAGCCCTTCCCCTCAAACACCAGTCCATGTAAAGCCCCTCCCCTCAAAGACTGGTACATGACAAGCCCCTCCCCTCAAAGACTAGTTAATGACAAGTGCTCCCTCAGAGACTGGTCCATTTCAAAGCACTTTGACAGATGAAAGAGATAAAAAGAAGGAAAAAAGAAGATATTAGAAAGAAAAAAGGCAAAGGCTATAGGCCTACATTTAAGAACTGCTCAACGTGGGCCCAAAGTAACATTTACCAGGGCTTTGTATCCAACCAAAAACAAATACAAATAAAAGCATTTTCCCTCAACAACCTGGTGAATTAAGCTGTCACAAGAACAGAAAACCTGAATGAGCGGCTACACACAGAACTAACCATCCAGGCAGGTTGCGTGTGCCACGACAAGCACGGATGTCTCTGCAAACACCCCAGACATTTCTCAAAGGTGCTGCTACCACAAAACGCAGAAGAAGAAAAAACCCAGACTCAGTAACTGTCGAGCGCTGATAGTTTTAAAAAATTACAGCACATCTGAAGGAAATTGACAAAACAGATGCCCAGTGGCATGCCATTTCTCTTCAGTACGAAAAAGTTGGGCATCGTATCTTCTTTTCATTACTAGTTGGAGATTTATTTTTTTTAAGAGAGAACCAAACTGACATGAAAATGGTTATAAAGTCCTAGGAAAAAAATAGAAGGACTGACAGACAGACAAGCAATTTATAACCGAACGACAGTACAGAAGATTCCACCAGCAGTGCCCTCCAACCACTTACATGAATTATCGGGCTCGGGAATGTAGCAGAATTCGAGTGAGGTTAGACTTATTGATTCCCGCTACAGTGCAGAAATTCTTGCACCAAGTCCAACAACCTCAGGGAAAGTAAAGGTCAGAGGCCAGTTGTTATTTCTTTGTTTCAGGAGCTGTAAGACCACAGCACAGGTCTATGGCGGTGTTGGACCATCGTCAGGAATGGTGAGGTCAACGTTTGTGCCGGAGATGAGATTGGGATGTCTGTTCTCCAGAATGACCTTGTGCTTCGGCTCCAGGGGAAGACCTGGGGGGATAAGAGCATTATGTAAGTACAGGCAAATTTTTAATTTTGTTTATTGGGTAAGTTTTTTACTGCGCTTGCAACTGCTTTAGGTCATATGAGCGCGCGGGACACATTAAACTTTTTCAGTTGGTAGGAAATTTTGAATTTTGCCCAGGTGGCCGCCGAAGCCTACTCTTATCGATTTAAGACCGCCAAGGGGTCTTTAACATGCGCAGCTTGCAAACGGGCCCTCCGAGATTTTTCGCCCTTGTCCAAGACGGCTAGGTGTAGATCTTTCTTACCAGAAGATCAGGAGTGTGGCTGAAAGACAGCAGTAAAAAGGAGCCAAGGACTAGCAGTAGAAAGGCTGCAGAAAGAGTCAGGAGCCCAGAGAAGGAAGGGGGCAGAGGATGTGAGGGGGTGGGGGCAGAAAGAGGAGACGATAGCAGACGACAGAACATTGCTAGACAGCAGGAAAAGAGGTGAAAGGAGACATTTTTACAGAAGAAAATTTTTCCGTCGCTACCCGGATTCGAACTCGGGACCTTTGAATGAGAGGCCAACACCTTAACCTCTAGGCCACGAGAGCCCCCCATAGGCAAATTATAATAATAACTACAACAATAATAATAATAATAGTAATAATAATAATATTAATAGTAATGATAAATAGCATTTCTATAGCGCATACACCCGCTCAACAGCAAGCTCTATATGCTTTACACTATAATATTACCACAGCAGACAATAGGGCACTCAGAAACATTCTCAGCTTCCGGGGAAGATGACCCCCCCTCTCCCCATCCCTTCCCCCATTGTCAAAGAGTGAGGAAGTGGCTGTCTTAGACAGGTGATGTGTTGGACAGTATCTTTATAGTGTAGAAAAAAAACCGCAAGGGGGAAAGTTGGAAGTGGTCATTTGTACAAGTGAGTGTCTTGGATAGGTAGCCATTAGAGCAGGTTCGACTGGTCTCTCTCTCTTTTCTTTTTTTTTATTCATCTCTCTCAAACACTCCTTTGAGCAAGCACCCTAAGTGAATTTATGAGGCACCGTAGTGGAATCAGGCTCTCATCAAAATAATGAAATTCAAGAAAATGCCATTTTTTTCTCTCTGTTTGGCAATTTTGATCAATTTTTATTTTTGGCCTCAGCACCTTTTAGGTCAATTTAAAAACACATTGCTGTGTGGATTTTACAGAAAAACGTTGACTAAAGGAATAAAATATGTAAATTTCCAGTTTCAAGGACTCTCAAGCTTTAGAAGTCACCAAGCTCTGGCGGCCATTTTCTCGCTAATTTTACCTCTTACACAAGGTGACCCCTACCTCCTTCAATCCGAAATATCTCGACTTGTTTTGAAGATAAATAGGTAATTTTTTCATCAGAATCAAGATAAATGAGCAATCTTTAAGGCAATACCAATAACTCCATATACCCAAAAACTGACAAGCGCCTGATTCCACCGCGTCGTGACACGTTTAATTTTGTCAGACGATTGACTCACTAAGATGTTTGTACAGGAAAGCCAGGGAGGCTGTGACACACGTAGACATACACACGTCCGGCCTCAGCGTGTGACACACGTCCAGAAACCGGCCCACAAGTTGTGGCATGATGAACTGGAAGTCGGACACACTCTGATGGCAGCCACCCCTAAAAAGGATAAGATAAGATACATCTTTATTGGCCAGGTCCTGTCACATTGCTTAGGTGTTTCACCACGTGTACACACACACACACACACACACACACACACACACACACACACACACACATGCACACACCCA